CGATTAAATGTGGGTATCTATAAGGTATTTACATCTGAGCAAGTCGACACATGGTCCCTTTATATTCAACAGCTAATCAAAGCCAGGAGTTGAACATAACATAAGGGTTTGCTATAGGATAGCATGAATCACATTCTGAACTGCAACAACTGAAATGAGCAAATGGTCATTGACAAGACCGGGAGCCTCGGCAACTAGCTCACAGGCAGACAGCTACCTGGCAGATGTGAAATTACACAAGACAAACCCCACTCCCACTCCATTTATTCTGTCCTTGCATGCCTTATATCTAATCCACTATAACCTTTCTTAGATCGGGGATCCAAAACACTGCCTACAATATACATCATATGGGTACAACAGGGACTTACACCATGGCATCATGGTATTTTCTGGTTTTTTTTCAGTAATTCCTAGCATTTCTTTTGGCTTTCTGAACAGTCCTGAATACTGATGTGATGTTTTCAGAGGACTGTCTGTTATGATTCCAAGATCTCTTTCATGAGTGCTAAAGGAATGTTTAAAGGAGAGCTCATTACTGTGCACATAAAGTTGGGATAGCTTTTTCCATATGCTTTGCTTGAGATTTATCAGCACTTGATTTCATCTACCATCACTTTGCTGCCAGTCAGTACTGTGAGGTTTTTCTATAGCTGTTTGCAATCTGTCCTCATCTTAAGTACTTTAAATAGGTTTGTATCATGAACAAGATGTGCCACTGCATTATTAATTTTCCTTTCCAGCTCATTTATGTACATGCTGGAGAGAGTAGACCTTCTGGAACACAGTCAGTCTTCTCCCTCATTGGGAAAACTGACCTCCGCCTTTTGTTTTCCATCTTTTACAGGAAATAACCAGGTAACTGGTTATTTATCCACATGAAGACCTTCTCCGTTAACCCACAGAAACTTAGTTTCTTTGCTGGAAGACCTTCTTAAAATCCTTGTGGAACACCAAATGGCCTATACCCCCCTATGGATATGCTCATGTTTCCTTCCAGGCACACTAAGAGATGTAAGAGACACTTTTACAAAAGCTACATTGCTGTCTCTTCTACAGTATATTCTTCTTCAGATTTCCTGGTCTGTAGGTTCACAGGCCTGACTAGATGCAATATTTACAAAATATCACTATGTTTGCCCCTTTCCATTTCTCACAAAAAACTAATTTTAAACAAGAAACTACTGTTAATAGTTACAGGTATTTTATCCTTCCATTAGAACACTTGGCTGAACAGTCATCTGGTTCTGGTGATTTGGCGCTCTTGATCACAACAATTTGTTCTATGTATTTCTGCTTCAAATAGCTTGCTTTATTCATTTCTTTAGCCACCCTACTTTTCTAGGTCTTATGAGTCCATTTTGACAGTATGGATTTGTTTTCAGTTTCCAATGTACTGTCTCCATGCTGTCTTCACATACTTTTCCCTTTTGGTCCCTTTTCAGCAGGCTTCCTCATTTGTGTGTAGCTTGCTTTCTGAAAACCGAACACTGCTGTGGTGGATTTTTTGGGTTATTTTTTGTCCCTGCAGAGATGCTGACCTTTAGTTCATAATGATCCCTATTATGATAGCAATGTTTTCAACTTGCACTGCTCAGTACCAAGCCAAATGTCTTCCTTACTGGTTATCCTCTTGGTGTTTCCTAACAGTACATATTTTCTATTTAGAACTGGAACTTCAAACCCAAAAGGATTTCAGGCTAGTGTCTGTAATTGCAGATTGGTTTCTTACATATTTTAGAATATGCAGGCTAAGCCCCCCCAAATTATTTGCAGGTCCTTTTCTGCATATTTTCCATTAAATTTGCTTGTGCTTTGAGTATCCTGTTCTAAGGTAGTAAAAGCCACCACATAGCTCTCACCTCTTTCCTGAATACCAACTCTATTAATAAAAATTGGATGATTTGTTTAAATCCGATTAGGGTTTTTTAAGATACGCTTCCCTCCACATTTCACATGCCATACTGGTGGGGTGTTTTCCTTTCTTTCATGTGGTGATCCCTAACACATAGAAGAACACGACTTCCTCTTTGGTAGGCTGCCCAATGTTCAGAAGACAGATAAAGAGTCTAGGTCTTTATGTTTAAACATTCACCAAAGGGAGATGGCTTTTGTCAATGCCATGAAAAGGCTGTTGTTGTTTTTTTTTATGGATCCACAAATCAGTTCCATGAAATCTAAAAGGAAATTCATGAATCGTTCGAGTGAAAGAGTAAATAAATAGTAAACAAGCTTATTGCAATAAGAACAGAGATATTATATACTTTGCTAGCTTCAGGGAGTTTCCATCGCAAAATTCATAACTGAAAATTCAGGAAGGAATACTGACTCTACAACGCACATTTTCCATTTCTTAACCCTATCTCCCTCAACCACACGTGCAACAGCTCGCTACCAAGTCAAACACAGAATTCAGGAATCCAAGCAAAATTAAATCAAGTGTCTGTAACTTCTGGCCCATTATAGTTAACGAAATAGTGTGACTAAAACCCACTATGCCACTTGGAAAACACACCCCGAAGAGGAAGTGTACTTGTTCCTTATGCACAGAGAAAAATTAACGTACAGGCTGGCTTTTATTTATTGTTTGCTACTGTGGAATGTCAGTAGGTGATTAAAATTGCTTTTTACTCTTACTGTGCTCATTCCTACTGATCCCAACACCTACCATATATGTTTAGATGTAGCCCAGAACAGACAGTTTCAGTGTCTTTCAGAAGAAACAGCAATTATGTAGCTGTATTGAGAGCAAGCAATCATTGTTGCTTACCATTCATGACACTGATAAAAGGAAAATAACAGCATGCACATATGAAGTCATATATTCTTATATACACCTCTGTAGTACTGAGACTGAGTTTAGCTGTATTTGTCTTAAAAATTGTATTAAAGAGATACCATCTAATAATTACTTATTTGCAATTGTCACACAATTGTTCAATCCCACAGTTAAAACAAGTAATTGAGCTTTTCAATTATGATTTAAAATACAGTCTCTCTTACCACTGACTCTTACTTATCTGAAATATTTCTGCAGTCAAAAATAGCTTGGGACCAGATTAATTTTCTGTGTTACTTCTGTCCTTCATGTAGCCTTAACAACACCTGGACTGATGTTTACGAGTTTAGAAAAACCTCTGTGAGACCATGTATAAATGATTACGCTACAACTATAGTATAATACTGCTTTCCAACCATATTGTCCTCATCCTGAACACATTAGTAAAGATCAAGTCTCATGAACGTTTCCCATACTCATGGAAGGAGGGCTTATGAATCTCAGCAGTACATACACAGTAATACCCTTCTTTTGCTGGAAAGAGAAGTTAAAGGAGTGAAAGTTCATTTCACCAATGCACCAAGTACTTTAAATGTTCAAATGTCCACTCGCTTCTGGAAATGAGTCTCTGGTTTTGGTTATGGATGAAACAGGCACAGACGCCTGTCTAAGCTGTTAAAGGCAATTTGGTGTAATCGCTATTTTTTCTTCTCAGATTTTATGGACTGGCAATTATAGCAAAACTAGGCTTTGATTTGAACACTATATAGGTCTGCTGTGAGCACAACATGGGAAATCAAAAGTGTTCCCAAAGCTAGCTTCTCCCAGAGACAGTAAATACAAGACTTGAGTAGATAGTATCCTCTTTCACTACAGTTCATTTTTTACAAGCCTCAACCCAAGGAATTTAAATCATTTCTTATTATCCTTTTAAAAAGGGAGGAAAAAACCCTGCAAATAAAAATAGCAATAATTTGAAAATCATGACAAGTCATCTCTAGTTTTCCGGCAATGGTATTTACTATTAGGCAATCCACATCTAGACTTTATATAGGGCTAAACATTGTAGCACCTATATTTAGAAATGAAATGTCTTGCACTTCCTAATAAGCTTTTCAAGAGCATGCAAGCTTGGACATCTATGAAAACCAAAGGCTAGAACAGAAATTTCTTACTGTTATTAGTGATTAAATACATAAGAGTTTCCATGTATTTTTTGTATGTCTACTTGTGAAAATCATTGCAAAAGCATGCACTAAAGAAATGTTTTCACTTTCACAAAACTCTAAACTATCCTGAAAAATATGCTGTAAAAATGAAGGAAAAAGAAAAAAAGAAAAAAAAAATTAAGTAGAAAAGACTAATGAGGAATTACCAAACTGGTTTGTCATCAATCTTCTATTTTTGTGAGTGGGTAATACGGCTTTATTAATGATTTTGTAGACAGGTTATAGCTGAAGATGATGTAATCAATTACTATACCGTGTCATTTCATTTGAACATACTAGTAACTTTAATTAGCTCTAAAAGGAAATGACAAATCAAGTACCAGATCCAGAACTCCTAAAAATACAGTTAACATTGCTATTGCAGAAACACAGAATCACAGGATGGCTGAAGCTGGAAGGCACCTCTTGAGACCACCTACTCCAGGCCCCCTGCGCAGAGCAGGGCTGGTGAGAAGCAGGTTGCCCAGGACCATGTCCAGTCAGGTTTTGAATATCTTCAAGAACGGAGACTCCACTGCCTCTCTGGGCAACCTGTGCCAGTGTCTGACCACCCACAGGTGTCTTCTTGTATTCAGATGGAATTTCATGGTTTTTAATTTGTGCCCATTGCTTCTGGTTCTGTTGGTGAACAGTATTGAGAAGAGTCTGGCTTCCTCTTCTTCATTCCCTCCCATCAGGTATTTATACACATTGATAAGATCCCAAGTTGCCTTTTCTTAAGGCTGAGCAGTCCCAGTTCTCAGCCTCTCCTCATTGGAAAGATGCTTCAGTCCTGTAACCATATTTGTGGCCCTGCACAGGACTTGTTCCAGTGAAGTCCATCTCCCTCTTGTACCAGGGAGCCCAGAACTGGCCCCAGCACTCCAGATGGGTCTCACCAGTGCTGAGCAGAGAGGAAGGATCACCTCCCTCGACCTGCTGGCAATGCTCTGCCTGATGCAGCCCAGGGTGCTGTTGGTCTTCTTTGCCAAGAGGGTGTATTTCTGGCTTACGGTCAGCTTTTTGTCTACCAGGACCCCAAGGCCCTTCTCTGCAGAGCTGCTTTCTGGCCGATTGACCCCCAGTGCGTACTGTTGCCTGGGGTGATTTCTCCCAGGACACAGGACCTGGCATTTCTCCTCGTTGAACTTCATGAGATTCACCTCAGTGTAATTCTCCGTGATGCCAAGGTCCCTCTGGATGGCAGCACAACCATGTGGTGTATTGGCTGTTCCTCCCGCTTCTGTATCATCTGTGAACATACTGAGGGAACACTCTGTCCCAGGGTCCAGTTCATTAATGGACACCTGGTCAAATGATATTGACCCAGTATCAACCACTGATACCCCACTAGTGACTTGCTTCCAATGGAACTTTCTTGTCCTTCATGTGCCTGGAGATGGTTTCAAGGATTTGCTGCTCAGGACTTGAGGTGAGGCTGACTGCCCTGTAGTTCCCTGGGTCCTCCTTCCTGTCCTTCTTGAAGAAGAGTGTCACTTGCTCTCTTCCAGGATTCATGAATCTCTCCCAGTTGCCATGACCTTTCAAGGACAACTGAGGGTGGCCTCACAATAACATCAGCCAACTCATTCAGCACTGCCGCTGAATGTGGCAACCAGTGAAAGAGACAGAAAAGGACATCTGGCACCGTAACGAAAATATGACATAGCCTAGGAAGAAAAGCTCTCCTGTGCCCGACGAATTTGTGTTGTGGCAGTTTTTCACACCAGCAGCAGCTGCAGCTAAACCAGAGCAGGGTCCATTTGCGCAGCAAGGTGAGCGGCCGTCCCACACCCGGACCGCAGCAGGTTCCCAGCCTGACGTTTCTCTGCCTCAACTCCTTTAGTGTCCAAGTGGAGAAGTACTCCCGGGCCAGAGCACATCTTCAGGTTCCATATTTAAAACCGCACAAGGTGGAACAAACTGACATATTCTGCCCAGGACTGTTTAACAGTCTCCATCGTTTTCATTCAAAATGAGTCCGTTTCTTCTCTGATGGGTTTAGTGTATTCTGATTCAGACTTCATTGAAACCTGGGATTGTCAGCTGCTAGCTCAATATGCTACACTTAGCTTCCTTTCAAACTCACACTGTATTTTTATTTGATTCTAGTGCTCCTGGGGACAAGCGGTGTTGAAACAAAATGGATTTTAGCTGATTTGATTTTCCATCCTATATATTTTTATAAACTCAGAAACGACCAAGCAAGAATGCACTAGAGTAGAATATAAATCCTCTTCTGGGATAAAAATAGTTCAAATAGAAGACATCAGGGGAGAAAGAATATCAAATGCCCTTTAAGTCCTATTCCATTCTGAATTCTGTATTTCTGAATCTGATAAAACATCACATTTTTCAAAAGTTATTTCCTACAATTTGGAAGACTAACTCAATACTTTCTTAAAAGTAGCGATATTAAAATTTGAATAGAACAAATGAAAAAATTAACTAATGTCAGGTATTAGTTTTCTTCTTTTCCGAACCTTCAATGGAAAAAGATATGAATTCCAGCAATGTTATATCCAGAAAAAAATGAATTATTAGGATGTCTGATTTAATAAACAGAAGCACACTAACAAATAGATGCATATATGCTGAAACACACATCACTTTGTTACTATGAATTCTTGATTTTTTCTTTAAATCATCAGCAGATACGCAGTTTTACGATCCCTGAACAGACACAACTTACGCTATCGCCTTGCCATTTATTCTGAAATTGTGTTCTCCTCCACGGAGAGGGAAAACTAAATGAGCAAATTTAGCTTGTAATTCACTCTGTTATAACAACTATAACCGTGACATGGCAGAGCCCGTCACTGCTGAAGTGTTCATAAACAGGTCTGCACTAATTTTTCCACATAATCAAAGTCAGTTAATCAGTTACTTTCCAACCAAGCAGCCAATCTGGCAATCAAGATATGAAGTACCTAGGAACTGTAAGTACCTCGAAGCATTTCAAAGTATAATCTGAAAGTCTAACACATGCTACATGAAAGACACAGAAAATACAAAGGAATTTTTACAAAGGAAATCTTTCCTTTAGTATGGTTTCATTTAGCATTATTAAAGCTAAAAGTACTTGAAAAGATATATATGCTTATACTGTGCAGCCTCAGCCAAACCTGGTTTTAAACCACTAATAACACATTCTCTACCTCTGCTAGTTAACTTGTGAACAATGTATATTAGATGTATACAAACACAAAAGGTTGAATAACCCATGTTCCTTACCAAAAGCTCTTTCAGGTGATAGAGACTCACAGGAGGTCTCCTTGCCCTCAGAAAACAGTTACCGCAAAGTAAATCTGTATTGTATTGCAAAGCAGCATGGTATTTTTAAGGCAAACGTGGTATTTCAGTGACAAAAAAAGAAAGCAGTTTAAACCAGAAAGATTGCAACAGTTGTATCATGACACCACAAAACACCTCAAGCTTCCAGACATCAGCGGGCAGACCCTATGCTCAGGAGGAAAAATACGGATTCTTTACATAGCCATACAAAGCTTAGCTCAGACACTACTAAGACACAGATTGTATTCTGACACTCAACCAACATTAAAACAATTCAGAGAAGAAGCTTCAGAAACTCCTCCTGTCTTTTCTAACAAAAGCGTATACAGATCTTTATTTTAATTTTAAAATAAATCTTTATCTTCTCCTCTCCCCAACATGAAAGATCACATTTACTTACAATATGCCAACATGTCTTTAAATTTACCATGTCAGTATTTCTGACATTGCTACTACCTCTAGCAAGGGGAACAAAGTTTTCCATAGAGCTTAAGGCTAAAAGGAGTTATTACGGGCCATCCAATCTCTAACCTCCAGAAGAATGCAGATCAGATGGACTGTTCAAGCATTTTGCTGAAAGTCTTGAGCTAATATTGGAATTCTCATCATCACCTTTTCACCACCGCTGTATGATGTGTGGGCATGGGTAACACCCCAAGTCAACATCTTGAGGTCGAAATGCCTAGACTTCTTATGTCTAATAAGAACATCCTTCAACAATGCCAGACAAGGGAATTCAGTCCTAACAGTAGATTTTCGTAGACCATAAGCAAGAACAATTTACTTTTTAAGCTAATTTAGGAAGAAAGAATACTAAAATAAAATACTGAAAAGAAGACAGTTAAATAAAACTTTAAAAATGAATGGGGGCTAGGGTTTTTATAGCAGCCACCAGTCACAGGCTGGGGGACCGCATCAGGGGCAGGGTCCA